GACAATCAGCAAGAAAACCCTCTTTGTGCCTGAATCATTGGATTCAATATTCTCAAGTCATTTGCCCTAACATAAATATAGCCTGGAGAATATAGCCAGCCTTAATGTCCTCTTGACTCATCACCGGCAACAGTGCTTGTCTGAGACCTTGTCTGGTCAGTAGAGAATGAACTCTGTCAGAGTATGTTTCTATAGAAAGAATGAATGAATAAATGTTAATAAAATGGCCACAAGATATAGCATATTTTCACCTTCTAAGAAAAAATCCTATTCAAATTTTCAAGCAGTTTCTTAGAATAGTTTTGATCAGAGATATTTTGTACAATATAATCTTTTAGTCTTTGACCTATACTCACAACATACATTTTCAAACTTTTCAGTATTCAAGTTATTTAAATATTGAGGATGGGGGAACAGCTTTATTGAGATAACATATAATATATAATTTCCTTATTAAAGTATATGGTGGGTTTGGGTTGTGTAATCTTTGCCACAATTTTAGAGCATTTTCATCATTCTAAAAACAAGCCCTACACTAGCAGCATTTCCCAATTTCCTTCTCCTTCAACCCTAGACAACCATTAATCTACTTTAGCCATTAATTCACCTATTCTGGATATTTCATATAAATGGAATCATTCAATAGAGTGTTTTTTTTGTGACTGGTTTCTCTCAACTTATCATTTTTCTCAAGGATCATTCATGTTACAATGTATTTCCTCATTGCCAAAAAAATTCCATTGTATGGATATACCACATTTTATCCATTTCTTATTTGATGGACATTTGGACTATTATGAATAATGCCCCCAGAACTCTTAAATTAGAACCATACACAGTAGCTAAGAACCTATTATTCAAATTATTTCAAAGGCCCAGAAAATGAAATTCATTTCTAGAAAACGAATTTCTTAAAGAGAAAATGTGCTAGTTGTAAGAAACTCTCCATTGGATTTAAATGGCTGGGGAAAAAAAAAAAGAAAAGATTCAGAGTTGGTAATGTTTTGTCATTTAATACTGTGTTGATAGTTTAAAGATTTGTTCATTTTTTCACTATTTACTGGTTGCCTGTCATTCTTCCTTAACTATGTATCCTGCTTAGCTCAAGCAGCTCTCAATTTACCCTTTAAAAAAAATTGAAATACTTTTTACATTCATTAGCTTTAACAAGAAAACACATCATCATTACTGCCTATTAGAACTAAATGGATGGTGAATATTTGCCACACAATTCTTTCCTATTAGGCTTATTACTGTGTTTTAAAAGCTATGGTTAAATTCTGTTTTACAGAATAATAAAGCTAAATGTCTTCCTAAAAAAGATCATACATAAACTTAAAAAAAATGTTTTTCAGTTGGGAGTAATATTATAAACCAAGGCTTATTTTCCCAACACTTTTTTCAAGGTATCACAGAGCCTAGGAGAAACCAATATTTACAAGTAGACATTTATAAAAGACATTAAGCACTTGATTTTAAAGCAAAAGAAATTCATATTTAAACATCAAAGAGCAGCAAATATACTGTAAGGTTAGTGGTAGAAAAGTAAACAGACAAAATTAAGTCATGATATAAAAGAAGCTTATTTTATATACCTTAGCTGTGGAAATCTTTGACTTTCTACATATAACCAAATAGAATGCTGTGACCTAATTTACACATATGCCTGATAACCTGAATTTGCATTTATTGTAATGGGTTCTTTTCACAGAAGCCTATTAACAGCCCATTTGCTGTCTACCAACAAATGTTAACAGGAGGGCTTTATTTGCAAGAATGTAAATTAGAGACTTAAAGTTATTATTTGAGTTGTGTCTATAAAAGCTCTATGCATCACACATAGGATCTTACTTTACTGAGCTACCACTCACAGAATGAGAAAATTGTCCCCCTTAAAATATACAATGGAACCAAATAAGGGACTAGGAAAAAATAATTATAATAAATTAAAAAACAATTAACAAGTAACTATTAATCAGAGACACTCAGCGGGTGAGGGGGGAGAGGGATCAAAACAGGGGAGGGAATGTGTTCTTACACAAGGGACTATGGTGACGGTGCACCAGTGAACTGGTGATGGGAATTTTGCGGGGACTATACCTGAAAGGAGAGAGCATGCATTGTACAAAAAGGGAGAACGATGTAAAATATATATAAAATAAAATTTAAAATAAATAAATATAATACACAATTCAATTGTTTTCCGCCCATTCACAGAGTGAGTCTTCATTTTTCAGAAATTTTGTAATGAGGTGCTCACTTCTCAGACCTTTACCCTTTTCCTTTCCTTTAGCCCTGAGAGGTGCTAAGCATAATGGCCAAGAGTGTTGATTTCAAGCTTGGCCAAAAAATATCACTTCATCCTCTATATAGCTATATATCCTTAACTCCTGAGCTTTCATTTTCTCATACGTAAATTAAGGCTAGATGTCATGTACTGAAATATGTGAAATGTTCAGAAGTTAACCTGACACTAATTAATATTATTGTAATAAACAATCCTTTAAATATAGAAAAAAGCAATAAAACTAAATATGGGTGAGGTGGGGGGGGAAGGAGAGGGGGAAGGGGAGAGGGAAGGGAGATTGAGGGAGGCATGTCCTTTCCAGTTCAGGATGGAATCCAAACTCTGAAAAGGTCAAAAATGTCTCTCAAGATCTGGCCCCTGCCATCTCGCTAGCCTCAGCTCCATTCCTCCCTGAGACCCATCCTACCACTCAGCAACTCAGACCTGCTTGTGTTTACTTGTACACATCACACCCTTCACTTGCATGTCTCTGCTCCTACTGTTTTGAGAATGCCTCCGACCACAGTTCTTTATCTAGCAATAGTGTATTCATTCCAATCTTCCAAATCAGTGGTTCAGTGGTTACCTGCTCTAGGAAGCCTTTAACAGATTTGGTGCCAACTTCTAATGGACCTTTTCTACCACTGGCATGGAAATCACAATTACTAAGTTATCCTTCCCTCTGGATTCTCAGTATCTCTACACTTATTAATTCCAACTACCTTATACTTTAAGGAGTTTGTTCTCTCCCCAAAATTGAGATATAATGTTTTAATCATAGCTTTACTGAGATAAAATTGACATACAAAAGTTTAAAATATTTAAAGTAGACATCATGGTGATTTAATAAAGGTATACACTGAAGAGGGATTCCCCAACTAGATAATGAACACATCCATCACCACATCCATCACCCAAACATATTTCATTTGTTTTGTTTGGTGGGAACATTTAATTCTACTACCTTAGCAAATTTCATATACAATGCAGTGTTCTCAACTATAGTCATCATGCTTTACATTAGTTCTTTAGACCTTATTGATCTTATAGCTGAAAGTTTATACCTTATTATAACCTCTCCTGTTTAGATTTTGAGCATAGTATACATTAGTCATTCTCAAAACTTTGGGGCTCAAAATCCATTTACACTGGTAAAAACGACTGAAGAGTCAAAATCACTTCTGATTATGTGAGTTTCATCTATTAATAGCTATCATAAGGAAATTAAAAGTGAGAAATTTGTGAGATATGTATTAATTCAAGAAAATAAGAGAGGTAAGCAACTCTTCAATTATGAAAACAGCTGTGACTTCAAGGACTGAGAGTCTCAGGACACCTCAGGACACCAGATCACAATATAGTGGTGTCAGTGAGGTTTTTTCTCTACTTTCATAAAATGTATTTCTATTCATATATACGTTCAAGTACTTGGGAAGGATAATGGGAAAATGAAAAGATATAAGAAGGGAGATAGAACCTTATCATAGTTACAGAGAATTGCTGAGAACGGGAGACAAGGAAGGATGGTAATGAAGTTCAAACAGCACTAGTCTTAGAGAAAACTTAATTCTAACAAAAACAAGACAAGAGTGATACTGAAGGCCAAAAGTCTGAACAACATCTTAAATATTTAGGTATAAAATGCACCATTTGACAATTCTATCCTACCTACCCCATCATCTTTCTGTCATAATTCTCACAAGTTTTTTTTTTTCCCCCACACACTTCTGCCCCCTCCTCCTTTGGAATGCTATTCTCACTTTGCTGTTTTTGGCTCAAAAATACTGCTCAAATATTATGTGATTAGAGAAGGAAAAAAGCAGCAACAGCCCTGATGAAACTGCATGACTGGAATCCAACTGATTAATTTTTTAACATTCTATTAGATTATAAAAAATGATAATGAGATTTTAAAAATAGGAATGCTGTAGTTATTTTTACATGCTGAAAAATTAGTGTCCTTAAAATATGCTGCATGAAGGCCAGGACTGGGAAGTAATATGAACTTGGTTATAGTGCTAAGGTGGCAAATGGTTTTGAATTATTTCTTTAATGTTATGTCATTCTTTCTATGGAACAAAAGCCATGGCAATTTGACAATTACTTCTCAACTCACATGTGTTGCTGCCCTTTTCTCCATACTTTTCAGGGATATACAGCTGGTTTGAATTTTATTTAGTCTTGTGCTGAAATCTAAAACTCAAAATCTAGACTAGGGGTAGACAGGCCCAGCACAAAATCAGCCTGCAGGCTGTTTTTGTATAGCCCTCAGGCTAAGAAAATTTACCATTTTTTAAAGGTTGTGAAAACAAAACAAAGCTATAGAACAAACAAAAAACAAAGAATAATATGCCAATGAAAATGCACACGGTCTGCAAAACCGAAACTATTTACTATGAGAACTTCAAAAATAAGGTTGCCAGTGCCAGGAATGATCCATTCATCAGAGTTTAATCCATAAAATATGCCAAATAAATGTTAGTTCCTATTGTTAATTTTGATATTGTTTTGTATTTTACTATCCTTATTATGCTCCTTGAAATATTTTAATTTCTGAACTTTGTGAACAAGTCTTGAACTTTGTCTAATCACATTACCGATGAAGTACTGCTCTGTTAGCTCTTTGCATCATTTTATACTGCCTAGTCTTAAAAAATTTTTATCTCTCCTTTCCTTTACTGTAGTACACATTACAAAAACACTACCACTTTTATCCTTTCAAATTTTATTGTAAGGCAACTTAACATGAAATCTATCCTCTTAAATTTTTACCTGTACAATACTGTACTGTTGTCTAAAGATACAATGTTGTATAGCAGATCTCTAGAATATACTCAATTGCATAATGCAACTTTATGGCCATTAATTTGTAACTCCCCATTCGCCTTTCCTTCAGCCCCTGGAACCATCTCTCCACTCTTTTGAGTCTATGGATTTCATTGTTTTAGATACCTCATGTAAGTGGAGTTATGCTGTATTTGTATTTCTGTGACTTGTCTATTTCACTTAGCATAATGTCTTCAAAGTTCATCCATATTATGTAGGGTGCACTGCAGAATTTCCTTTTTAAAGTCTGAAGAACATCCCATTATTTGTATTTATCCATTCATCTGTTGATGGACATTTATTTAATAGCAGTAACACTTTAGTGGATAATTGCAAGTTCCTTCCTAGTAAGGTACAGTCCCCTTGTATTCAGGATTGTACATTCCAGCCAGGATGGAGCTGGGAGCTGAGGGTGAGGCGGAGAGCAAAAGCACATGAATGGAGGGAATGTACTCTAGCCATTTTGCTTTTTGGGTTAAAGGAAAAACACCTTAAGATCAATATCCCAATCATAAGAGAAAGTGGAATAGAGAACTTGCACATGCCTATAACAGTTATGCTTAACTTATCGTTTCACATGTAGAGTTTATTTGGGTAAAACTACCTTCCACCAGCATAATGCCTAAAAGTAAAAACAAGGCGGGGGGGGGGGGGATAGTAACAGGAAGCTAAGACGGCCTCAGCTAACCCAGTCAGTAGAAACAGACTGTGTGCAGGAAGTCCCGTCCGCTCTTCTTCTCCAACTCTTGCAGCAAATCCTCGATCTCGTTCTCCATGTCCTCGCTGTGCTGGATGCCCTGGCAGAGTTCACAGATGAGAAACGCCCCCGCGGCGGCCTCCTCGAGGTTATCCTGGATGTCCACGTTGATCACATGCACTGGCTGGCACGTCTCCTCTTCTCTGAAATTCAGGTCTTCCACCACCTGGTCATACACTCTCTCCTCACAGGTAAGGATCAGATCGAACAGATCTTTGCAGTTCTGGAACCTTTCGGGCCGGGGCTTGATTCTCTTATTTCGATCCAACATATGTAAGATGCCATTCTGCGTGTAGAGGTCTTTGTCTTTCCTGAGAAGATCGTTGTACATCTGATCATACGTAGTTTTGAAATCGTAAATATTTGGCTTGTCAGGTGCTGGCCCTGGCAGCTTCACGTGAGTCCCTGTTCCAAAGGACCGGACGCTGAATCCTTGCTTGCTGAGGATGTAGTGCGCCTCCATGCTCTGGTTCTGGTTACTGGAGCACACTACTGCCACCCGCAGCGACGAGGAGGGCATGGTGGCTCCACACCGTCGAAGCCACTAGCTCGCTAAGGATTCTGACCCAGCCGCCGCACTTCTGAGTGAACAAGATGGCGGCTGAGGCAGCCGGAAGTCATGACTCAGAAGTGGCATGTGCTACGTAGCACGTCAAGACGCACGCACGCAGCAAGCCGATGCAGGTGGCCTCCTGGAGAACCCAGAGTCTGGGCAGGGAGGGTCACAGCTGATGCAAACAGGTAACCAGAGAGTCACATCGTGTGCCTCACGAGCATTTAGATTACTTTCATAGCATAGAGATGGCAATAGTGCTGTAATGCACACAGAAATGGTAAGAATTCTTTGAGATTCTTATTTCAATTTTGAATAAATTCTCAGAAGTAGGACTACTGAATCATACTGTAGTTCCAATTTTAATTTCCAAGACACCTCCATATATTTTCCACAGTGGCTGTGCCATGTTGCATTCCCATCAACAGTACATGGTGTTTCCACATTCTCACCAACACTTGATGTCTTGTTTTGGTAACAGTTATCCTGACTGGTGAGAGGTGTATCTTCTTTTTTGATTTACATTTCCCAGATGATTTGTGATGTTAAACTTTTTTTTTTCTTTTTTCCCATGTACCTGTTGGCCCTTCTTTGGGGAAATGTCTATTTAAGTCCTTGACCCATTTTAAATTGGGTTATTAGTGCTTTGCTGTTATGAGTTATAGGAGTTTCTGATGTATTTTGGAGATTAATCTCTTATTGGATATATATGGCTTGCAAATACTTTCTACCATTTCATACATTTGCCTTTAACTCTGCTGGTGTTTCCTTTGTTGTGCAAAAGGTTTTGATTTGATGTGGTCCCACTTGTCTATTTTTGATTTTGATGCCTGTACTTTTAGTATCATATCATGAAATCATTGTCAAAACTAATGTCACCATCTTCTCCCCTGCTTCCCCCTTCTCCCCCAGACCCCCCCAGGAATTGCAGTTTCTGGTCGTATGTTTAAGTCTTTAATACATTTTCAGATATTTTGTGTATGTCGTAAAATAAAGACATTGAATTTTATCAAACACCTTTTCCACACCTGTGGGGACAATCATGTAATTTGTTCCCTGTATTGTGTTACAGCAGTACATTACATGTGATTTTTGTACGTTGCACCGTCCTTGTATCCCACAGATAAATCCCAGTTGTTCATGCTGTACAATCCTTTAAATGGAAGGCTAGACTCAGTTTACTGGTATTTTATTGGGGATTTCTGTGTCTATATCCAGCAGGGATGTAGGCTTGAAAGTTATCTTTTTTTGTGGTGTTTTTGTCTCATTTTGGTATCAAGGTAATTCTGGTCTCATAAAATGAGTTTGGACATGTTCCCTCTTCAATTTCTTAAAAATATCTGTTAAGAATTACATTGGGGGGCCTCCCCTGTGGCGCAGCGGTTGAGCGCTGGGTTGCAAAGCTGCCCGCAGCCTCTGCAGCGCCGGTTCGATCCCCGGCTGCTCCCCGGCCACCAGAGGAGGGTCCCGCATGGCGCGCAGACCTCTCTTGCAGCGCCCGCTGCTCCCCTCAGCAGTGTACTTCGGTCCTTCTGCCTGCTCTGCTCCCCACTCTGGCTCTGGTGAATTCTCTCACCCTCCCGCGCTTCTGACTGTACCCAGTGCTTGTATAAATAAACAAATAAACAAACAAACAAATAAATAAATAACTCTTTAAAAAAAAAAAAAAAAAAAAGAATTACATTGGGGCCTCCCCTGGTGGTGCAGCGGTTGAGCGCTGGGCTGTGAGGCTGCCCACAGCCTCTGCAGCGCTGGTTCGTCCAGCCGCCAGCGAGGGTCCCACCAAAAAAAAAAAAGAATTATATTGATTCTTCTTTTAACTATTTGGTAGAATTTACCAGTGAAGTCATCTGATCCTGGACTTTTCCTCTGGGGGAGGTTCTTGATTACTGATTCAATCTCCATACTATTTATAGGTTGTTCAAATTTTATTTCTCCGTGATTTTAGTCTTGGTAGGTTGTATGTTTCTAGGAATTCACCCAGTTATTCTAGATGGTCCAGTTTGTTGGCATATAGTTATTCATAGTAAAATCTAATGATACTCCATAGGAATATTTCCATATAAGAGTAACCGTTTTTTTATGTCTGTGGCATCAGTTATAATGTCTTTTTCATTTCTTATATTATCTAAGTTTTTGTTTTTTTTTTCTCAGTCATAGTAGCTAAGGGTTTGTCAGGTCTTCCCCCCCCCCCTTTCAAAAACCAATTCTCAGTTCCATTCATTTTTTTCTACTATTTTTCTATTTTGTTTTATTTAATTCTGCTCTAGTCTGTGTTATTTCTTTCCTTATGGCAACTTTGAACTTGGTTTCTTCTCCTTCCCCCTGAAATCTTTGAGCTATAAACTTAGACTGTTTGAGAACCTGCTTTTTTTTAAATGTATGCACTGATAGAAATAAACTTTCCTCTTAGAATGGCTTTTGCTGCATCCCATAAGTTTTGGTGTGTTGCATTTCATTTGTCTTGAGGTATTTTTTACTTTCCCTTTTAACTACCAATTTGACCAAATGCTTGTTCAAGAGTGTTCTATTTAATTTCCACATATTTGTGAAGTGCCAGTTTTCCTTCTATTGATTTCTAGTTTCATTCCTGTAAAATCTGAATAAATACTGGCATTATTTCAATCTTCTTAAAGTTTTTCAAGACTTGATTTGTAGGCTAACATGTGATCTACCCTGAAGAACATTCTATGTGCACTTGAGAAGAATGTATATTCTGCTGCTGTTGCATGGAATGTTATATTTTGCACATGCCAGTTATATTGTGTCTAAAGTATGGAATATGGATTCAAGTCCAATTTTTCCTTGTTGATTTTCTGTATGGACATTTTACCCATTATTGAAAGTGAGAGTATTGGTATCCTACGATTATTATATAGCGATCTTCTTTTCCATTATAACCATCTTTTGCCTCAATATTTTTTCACTGCGCCTCATATCTCTATCTTTAAATCTCAAGGGGTTAGCATTCTCTAATCCATTTAATGAATCCATGCCCTGTGATCTTCCTCAGATTGTTGAACCTCTCTAAATTTCTGATTTATCATATGCAAAATGAAAAGAAAAGTGTGATACAGACCAATGGAATGCAACTGAAAGACCAGAAATAAAACCATACATATATGGTCAACTAATCTATAACAAAGAAGCAAAGAATATACATTAGAACAAGGAAAGTGTCTTCAATAAATGGTGCTGGGAAAAATGGACTGCCACATGTGAAAGAATAAAACTAGACTACTATCTCACACTGTACACAAAAATCAACTCAAAATGGATAAAAGACTTAGGTGTAAGACCTGAAACCATAAAATATATAAAAGAAAACATAGGCAAAACACCCCATGACATAAACTTACAAAACATCATTCAGGATCCGTCTCCAGAAGCAAAGTAAGCAAAGGAGAATATAAATAGCTGGGACTATATCAAACTAAAAAGCTTCTATACAGCAAAAGAGACACAAGCCAAAACAAAGAAACACCTTACCGAATGGGACAAAATATTTGTACATCATACACTGGATAAGGGACTGATATCAAAGATCTACAAAGAGCTTATACAACTCAACAAAAACAAACAACCCAATCAAAAAAATGTGCAGAAGAGCTAAAAAGACAACTCTCCAAAGAAGAAATGCAAATGCCAACAGGCATCTGAAAAAATGCTCAACACCACTTATAATCAGGGAAATGTCAATCAAAACCATAATGAGATATCACCTCACAGCTGTGAGAATGGCCCATATTAAAAAAAAACAGAAATAAATATTGGTGAGGATGTGAAGAAAAGAAAACCGTCTTACACTGTTGATGGGAATGCAAACTGGTCCAGACACTATGGAAAGCTGTACGGAGATTCCTCAAAACACTAAAAATGGATCTGCCATATGATCCAATGATTCCACTCCTAGGAATCTGCTCAAAGGACAGGGATCATGCTCAGTGAAATAAGCCAGAAAGAAAAAGAAAAATACCGGATGGTCTCACTCACAGCAGGAATCTAGAAAACTTAAGGGACCAGGAAAAAGAATAACTATAAGAAAGAAAATATCAAAATCAACAAACAACTATGAACCAGAGACACTCTATGGGGGCGGGGGGCGGGGAAAGGAGGGCTTGGGGTCAAAATAAGGGGGTTGTAATTGTATGGGGACTATAAAAAATAAAATTTAAATAAAATATGAAAAAAATTACTACTAAGAAAATAGAACAATTGTAACAATACCGCCTAATAAAAATTACATGAATCTCAAAAAAAAAAAAAAGATAACAATCAGAGAAACCAAAGGCTTAGGAAAAAGACAAAATATGCAAGCTGACCATAGATCTGAGACATATGGCAGGGGATGATGGGGGAGAGAGGTTAAAACAGGGGAGGGAATAGCACAAGGGACTGTGGTAATGGATCACAGATACTACAGTCATAGGAGAACTATGGGGACTACACCTAAGGGGAGAAATCCAATATTAGTGAACAAATACTATCAAATCTATCTTAACAAAAAGAAAAGAAATACATGGAAAAAAAGAGACAAGAATAGTGTATAAAGGGGAAGATACATTACCTTCAAAACTGCTTGGCCATTATTATTATACTTTTCTATCATTATTTGCAGACTAAATATTAGATTCTACTTAGGGTCAATTATGTAAAGATTCAGATAGTTCACTCCTAGTCAAGCATATAACTCCTATTATAATATTACTTTTTAAAGGAAAACCAAATTAAACTTAATCATTTCCATTCAATGCCCTTTTCCAGGAAATCAATTTACTGCAAATATGAGGTCTTCCTTTGCACCATAAAATATCTCTTCTTCTTTCTTATTTTAACTCTCATGTATTTACATACTTATGTAGTATATATATATATATATATATATATATATGAGTCTGATCATTGGCAATTGCCCCTGCTCATCTGGCCTTCCATCTGCAACAGGGACAGTGCCAGGCACAGTACTTAGCTCATTTTTTTCTTGGACAGACTCCATTAACCACTCATATATTTCACTGACTCTAAAGAACCAAGCAAATGATCTGATGGTTTTGGTAA